TGGTTGGGTTCTCACCTGCATCTCTGATTTTTGCTCCAGGAAGACAACATATCTCCCTAGATTGTATGTCTGGTCTGCAGATGGCTGATTCTATTCCTTTGAGAATAGAATCTCCTATTACCAACACTTGGCTTCCTTTTTTTGGCGGGTGCTTTCTGGGGTGTTTTTCTGTTTATCTGAGGTGTCTTTGTTGATATGACTTTTTTAGGGATATTTGATGATGTTTCCTTGCTAGGTATTTGCATGTTTTCTTTGGGGGGAAGATTGTGGGTCTGCGTATTTCCATCTAAGGGGAGAAATCAATTGCTCAGTTTTAATGGGGCTGCTTCTGGTTGGGTTAGATTGGGCGATAGGGGTTTGTTAGATGTCTGCTGCTTCTTTCTTTGATTATTAAGTTTCCTTCTATGTGTGACATACCTCCATTTGTCTTTCTCCCAAGGTTTTATCAGTAGGGTCAAATCCTCTGGGAGTTATTTGTTCGTTATTTTGTTTAGTTTGGGTATAGTTTTCTTAGGTTGGGGTTTGGCTAGAGTTGCCTCTATATCCCTTACTTTTTCCTCTAGTAGTTCACATAATTTACATTTAATTTGGGTGTTGTTTGAGCATAAGCACATACATGGAACATGTATTGTACACCACAATAGTATCAGTCACCTGTTCCATGAGTTTGTTTTTTCAAAATCTCTCCTTTTTGGTTGGTGGATGTGCTTTGCTGTTAGCCTTGTTTCTACCTTCTCTGTTCTAAGCAATTATGCCTATTTTTTCTATTCTTTTTTCTGCCTGCTTATGCTATTTTTTTCCTTGTTATTTATTTAACTTTCTTACTATTATGTTAGTTTTATTTATCCTTTTCTTCCCTCTATATTTAAAAAGTTCTTGAGCTCTAATTTCTCTCTACCTTAATATTTAAGATTTGCCTCTTTATTAATCCTATTCTTCCTTGATTTATAATGTTCTACTCTTGTCCTTATTATTTGCCTATTTATTTATCTTTTATTTTCTGTCCTGTATTTATTTTTATTCTCTAGTAGGGTCTTCCCTCCTTTCCTATTGGAACCTCAACTTAAATGTTGCCTTCACTTTGTCTTTGTTCGCTGCTCCAGCCTCTTGTCGTTTTCTTTGCCAGCTCCATTCTGTCTTTTTGTGCTCTGGTGTTTTCAGCCTTGTCTCTGCTTTGGTCAGGCCTATCATTCAGCTTTCTGGTAAGCTCAGTACCACTGTCAGTCTGCTCTGCTCAGCCAGCCACTCAACTTTAGAGATCAGAACTTTCTAACTCGATGCACCTCTGCTGCTGCTGTTGCATTTTTCCCCCTTCGCTAATTCTGCTGCTGCTTTTCTCCCTTCCACAGATTTTGCCACCACCAATTTCTCACAGCCACCAATGCCCTTTGTTGGACAGGTTGCTGTATTTATTTATTTATTTCTAAAATTTATATGCCGCCCAATCCCAAGGGACTCAGGGCGGCGTACAAAATTAAAACAATAATCTGACAATAAAACAATAAAATAAATACATTCATACAGCATGTCCGATCATATCCCGCCCCGCCCCCCGGGGACATCAGCCCCAGGCCTGCCGGACCAGGAGAGTTTTAATGGCTTTCTTAAAGGCCGGCAGGGTGGGAGTAGTTCGAACCTCGGGGGGAAGTTGATTCCACCAGGTCGGAGCCACCACAGAAAAGGCCCTTCCCCGAGGGCCCGCCAGCTGACATTGTCTGGCCGACGGGACCTGAAGGAGGCCCAATCTATGGGACCTCACCGGTCTCTGGGAACTGTGCGGCAGTATGCGGTCCTGTAAATAACCTGGTTGGAGTAGGTTGGTTAATTTGGTTTGGTAGTCAGATGTGTTCATAACCACCGTAGCGTTGCCCTTGTCTGCTGGTAGGATTATTATGCTGGTGTCTTCTTTCAGGTTACGTAGTGCTGTCTGTTCCTCTTTGGGTAAGTTGCTTTTGGGTGGCTTGCTGGTGCAGAGGATGTTGGTGATTTCGAGTCTGATTCTGTTAGCGTCGTCGCGGTTGATTTTGGTCAGGCTGGTTTCAACTCCACATATAATGGTTTCAGTGGGGATGTGTTTGGGAGCGACTGCAAAGTTGAATCCTTTGGAAAAGACATTGGTTTCGGCTTTGGTGGGGATCCTATCTAAGATGTTATGCACTGTTTGTTTCATGTGTGGCTGTGAGGGAGGAAGGGTTTGTTTCTGGCATTCTTGTAGTCTTCGGAGTTTGTTGGTGTGTGTATCTGTCTTGAGGGTGGTCTGTGTTTCGGCTCTCCAGACGGCAAGTTGTTTGGATTTGTCCCAAAGTGCGGGGTGGATCTTGTTGCTGAGTTTGAGGTGGAATGTGAGGAGATCTTTGTTAATTCGGTCTAGGAGGAATCTTTTTGTGTGAAGTTCATTTCTGATTAGGGCCAAATCTGTTCTTTTCAGGATCCGTTTGGTGGCTGCAGAGTTGGAGTGGAATTTCAGTTGGAAACATGTGGGGATTAGATTTTGATCTCGGCAGTTGTGTAGGAATGCGAGGTCGCATAAAATGGAAGCTCTTTGGACTTCAAGTTTTTCATAGGTCCTGGTCAGATGGTGGATTTCCTCCCCGTAGAGGTTCGATGTTTGTTTTCTGAGGTTTTCGCGGGTGTTTGTATGTAGGTCTTTGGTTGTTTGGGTTTTCTCCCGCGTAAAATTGGAAGTGTCTTGGCGACGTTTCGACGAAGTCCCATTCGTCATCTTCAGGCTGGTGTTTTCAGCTTCATGCTTCGAGCAGCAATGTGTGGTCTTAGCTGTTTCTTCCTTTTAACTGCCAGTGGGGGTATGAACTGATTGGGTGGGAGCTTGCTGTGTTCTGATTGGGTGGAGGTGTGTTCTGATTGGTTAGGGGCTTGGCTGTGCTCTGATTGGCTGGGGGGTTGGCTGTGCTCTGATTGGCTGGGGGGGTTGGCTGTGCTCTGATTGGCTGGGGGAGTGTTCTGTTTGGTTGTGCTCAGGTTAGTCTGAGTTGCAGGGGGGTTTAAGATTTTGGGCTGCCTTGCTATTTTTTGGCTTCGCGTTCGTGGTCGTGCCTCATCTTCATGGAGGGTGTCAGTTTGCTTCATGTATGGATTGGAGGGTTTAAAGTGGCTAATGATGCAGCTGTGGTCTGGTTTCTTGTTTGTGGTCGTGCCTCATCATCGGTGTGGCTTTGGGTTTGCTTTTTGCATGGATGTGTGGTGGTGACATCCTGTGTGGTTTTTGTGAGTGTGGGTCTGGTGTCATTTTTTGTGTTAGGGAGTCGTTTGTCAATAAGGGCGGGTTTCCAAATGGCTGGTAGGCAGGAGGTATCATCTCGTTTGTTCATGCTGTGTGGGTGTTTTTCTATCTCAATGGCTTCTCTGATTATTCTGTTATTAAAATGTTCAGTTTTGGCGATAGTTCTGGTATTTTTAAAGTCAATTTCATGTCCTGTGGCTTTAAGGTGTTGGACCAGGGAAGATGTTGGTTCCTCTTTTTTGACTGAGTTCTATGTTCTTCAATGCGTGCACTTATTCTTCTGTTGGTTTGTCCGATGTATGTGGTGGGACAAGTGGTGCATGGGATTTCGTATACTCCTTGATTTTCTAATTCAATTTTATCTTTGGGGTTTCTAAGGATGGTGGATATTTTTCTGTTTGTGCATAATGCTGTTTTGATGTTGTGTTTATGGAGGATCTTACTGATTCTGTCTGTGGTGCCTTTTATGTATGGGAGGAGGGCTTTGCCATTTTCTTGTTCTTTGTCTTGGATTTTAGTAGGGGTTTCTTTTTGGATTAGGTTTGTAATCTTATTTCTATGGAATCCATTGGATGTTAGTACATTGGTGAGAGTGTGTAGTTTGGTTTTTAGGTGTTGTTCGTCAGCTATATACACGCCCATCCTATGCTTAACTATAACTTGAGGCATTAAAATATAGCAGAAAACATAAACAGAATCCTAGGGGAACTCAAGATGGACTTTTTCTGATATGAAGATTTCTGCACATTTCTCTTGGAAGTTTTAAACAGATTAGAAAAGCATGTGGATTCCATCAAGAGAAAGCAATGATTAATAGAAAGCAATGATTAATGCAATGAAAATAATTTCAGGAGGAGCCAAAAGCAGGAATATGACAACTTGTTTTCTCTCAGGAATGGCCCACCTACATAGATGTACTACAGAACACTCAACAGATTCCTTTCAGAACTAAAGACTAAAAAGGTTCACTTAAGGCTCATATGCTTCTCACATATATACAGCTGGACTTGTGAAATCATACCATTACCATACTTTCCTAAGCCCATTTAAATATGTTAATTATCATTTGAAATTAGAGAGAGCTCATGTCTTCCTTATGAATTTAATTAAGGGTGACCATAGTGAGATACAGGATTCTGGACAGGGAAAACTGTTAGCCCAATTAAGAGTTCTTTGTATAATGTTTTTAATATGTAAACTAGCTCTGAAAATAGTTCTCTCTGAGCAGATTAAACAAACTGAATAATCAAGCATTAATTCAAGGCTGAAGATAGGACTGGGTGACAGCTCAGATTCATAACGGTGCTTTAGTGCAGAAGTCCCCAACCTTTGGGGCACCAGGTATCGGTGCCATGGAGAAAGGTTTTTCCACAGACCAGAGGGGGTGTGGTTTTGAATACAGCCTGCATCCCAAAGATGGACCTTTGCTTATTTGTGCGGCCCACTTGCTGGCCTGCTGGCATCCACAACTCCAGTGCATGGATCAGCTCCGGTCTGTCGCATGCCAGAAACTAGTCCGTGCAAACAAGCAAAGCCCCATCTGCAGGATGCAGGCAGCACATGAAACCATGCCCCCTCTGGTCTGCGGAAAAACTCTCTCCACGGAACCGGTACCTGGTGCCCAAAAGGTTGGGGGTCGCTGCTTTAGAAGGTGTCTATATGATCCTGGGAAAAGGTACAGATACTTTAAAAAGCTACAGATGATATCTTTGTACTCTCACATACTCCCTAGCGCCTTTTTCAAATTTCCACTGCTAGATTACTATAGGAGAAAATCTTTTATTGAACAATTCTAAGCAAACCAAAATACATACACCATTCCTCCCGAGTCGAGACGAGTTCTCCCTATTCTGAGTGGTCTGTCGTACTCGGGGGTCATCATCTTGCACAATATCTCCATTAACCAAAATTCGCACCATCCTTATAGTAATCTTGTGTTTGCTTTGTCACACCTGTAATTTACAGTAGGAAGATTTTTAATATATTACCAGTTGGGGAACAGAGACCCAAATAAGATGAATATACCAACACTATACATAATTCTAGCAGTAAAGCATTTCTTACAGTCACAATAGCTAATACATGAGAATTCCAACTTTCCACTGTTGCGTCCTTCACATGTATGGATTTACTATGCAATAGCTATTTTCTTACAATGTTCTACAATTCAGGGTCACAATTAATTGAAATTATTTTTTCCATTGCATTCAGGAACTTTTGAAATAATTCACATAAAACAGTAAGAATAATTGCTGCAAGATGAAGTACAAAAAACATGTTCTTTGTCATATTCTATGGCAGCTATGTTCTTTTCCACAGTGTTAGTTATACAGTATGTACACTCCATATCCTCATCTGAACCAGAGAACAGAAATTCCACGTAATTTATAAATAATTAGCATTTTCACGTTCAATGGAATGTATAAGTCTAAAGGGAAAAATAAATTCTGGATTTTTGTAAGTACTGGGTATTTTATGACATCAAACTTTTAAATGTTGATTGGTTGACAATACAGATCAAAATCTATCTGTACACAATTCCATCTTTCCATTTTGTAAGGAACAAGGGTAGTTTCTGTACAATTATTTTAGCATTTTTGAAGAATGGTGACACAGTGAAAGGACTTAGATTTTGAATGCAGAAGCTAACATTAGAGGCTTTGGTTCATTTGCAGGAAAAAAAAATTCAGTTGAAACAAAGTCTTGCTCTGGTAATCCTGACTGGATATAATAAAGCTAATAACTATTTTATGTGGGGAAAAAAAGATATGCCACATCCTATTCTCTCAATTAGAACCACTTTCCAGTTCAGTATTTTATCTGATCTTTGTACTTTGATTTTAAAGTCAAGTAAATCTGCAGAAGTATTAATTCTTGTTTCTGTAAAACATCAGAAAAATATTTTTCCTTGTAAGAAAAATGCATCATGCCTTTTGCTTTTAAAATGTCATAATGAGCACCATTTTGCAAAAGACATCCTTCCTGGCTCAGAGAGAATACCTGTTGCAGATACCAACCATCTACACTTTTTTTAAAAAAAGGATTATATGTTCCATTGGCTTAAAATACAATTAATCATCATAAAATTCTACTAAAGATTTATTAATTTTTTATGCCACTTATCTCACAGATACAGCAACTCTCAGAGGCTTACAATATGCTAAAAAGTAAAAAAAAGACTACACAACAAGTAAAATTATTGAAAAGGTAAAAACCAAGAAGATGGGTGGCCTAGGGGGTAGGTATCTTCTCTATCCAGCCACTCTCAATGTAGCAAGCCCCTATCAGAGCCCCAGGCCAAGTGTCAGAGCCACGTTTTCTGGAAGGCCAGGTATCTGGGTCTGGATCTTACTTATTTAATATATGTTTTATTTATTAAACCAATTTATGCAGCTGCCCATCTCACAAAAAAGCGACTTGGGGTGATGTACAACAGAGGTAAAAAAAGTAATAACTACATTATTGAGGCATTATTTAGGTCAACCATTTCAAATATATGATTTTGGGCAGCTAACACTATTGAAAAACAGAATAAAAACAATATAACAATTCATCAATAACATAAATACCAGCTGAAGTAAAAATACACAATTGCATAATGTAACTTCTTAGTCAACAAATGGTCCAACTTAAATTTGTTCTGAGATCTAGAAAGAAACCACTCTTTCTCTTACTCCTTGGAAGAAACCAGGATTCCCAAGATTCCCACAGTCTTATCTACAGAGAATTTCCTTCCCATCCTAGTTTGGTATTAAATGCAAAGCTGGAAAATATATGAATAAAAAGCAAGAATGGTGAGATGCAAGAAACCCCCCCCCCTGCATACTTTAGCTCAGTGCAATGAGACCAGCTTGAGTCTATTTCCATCTCAAGAATGGACTATATATAGTGTTTTTCAGAAATGTTTTTACAAACACAGACAATACGAACCATTAACTTTCAAAACCAGGAAGTTCCTATTTCAGCATGAATCCATAAAGTAACCTTGAACCTCACTTCTAGAACCAACTATTTATGCCATAAAGTTCCTGGTTTTGAAAGGTAATGCTTTGTATTGTCTGTGTTTGTAAAAACATTTCTGAAAAACACTATATATAGTCCATTCTTTAGCATAAATTTTATGCTAAAAGATATACTCAGAACACATATATGAATACTCAAAATGCACATACCAATAATAAAGGCACTAAGCAGCAAGAGAAATTATTAGCAAATAGCGATGATGTCACAATTATTTCTGGTGCCAAGGCTTCAATCCTAGAAAACAAAATGCCATACTCAACTTGGTCAACAGAAGGGATCAAATAAAGCTCAGGGAATCCTCACCCTGCCCGTCATTGGAAACCGACTGCCCTTGCCCGGAAATGAACGTTCTATACATGGTCAGAGGCACGACTGCTCTCTGGTTAGCTTCAACAGTATGCTTGTGACCCGAATTAACCTTTTTCCCAAGTGTCAACAAGTTCAGAAAAAAAAATCCGGCTACATCCCAACAAACTTGCTCCGCGTTGGTTTCAAGGCTGATAAATTGATTTGTACGGATGGAGTCGCAACCACTACCTCACCCCCCAACGCGCCCACTCACCGTTCGCCTCTCTCTGCGGGCTCCTTTTGCTGACGTCAACCTTCCCTCTTCCGCAGACTGTCCAGTATCTCTAGCCCGGCGACTTCCAGGGACGTCATCTCCGGAAATTGTTCAAGAGAAAGGAAGAATGAGTGAGAGCAAGGCGGTGGGCCCTCTCCAGGTGGAACGGTGGAATTAGCTCCCTCGTCAGGCGCCAAGTCGAATAACAGGTTGCACGCCGAGACGCTACATCAACAAAAGCGCTCTGGGATGACAGAAGGCAATTTTTTACCGGGCGGAGAGGGAATGGAAATGGCATTTTCTAACAATAAAGAAAAAAAAAGTTGTCTGGATTAAAATAATGGCTGTGAGAGGGGGCTGTTTGCGTGTACAAGAAGTGACAACACAAAGCAAATTTGGCCTACTTTTGCAAAGCTTAGCAAGGTCGGATCTGAATTGGGCGTGGAGTCTTCCCGAGCGTTTCAGCGATATAGGCTAGACGAGGAAATTGGGGAGACTGGAGGACGCAATTAATTGCAAGTTGCAATGTTAAAGGAAGGTCGGTGGGCGCTGGCCATATTGCCAAACCCTGTTTTGCAAGCAAGAAATCTTGCAGCAGAAGCGGTCGGCGTCGTGTACAATTTAGTCTCGCACCGGCGCCCTGGACCGGAGCCACCTACTTGGCGTTGCCTCTGCATTCACTTTCGAGGGAAATTTACTTTGTCGACTTTGTCTTTTCTCGGGGAATTAAGGGAAGTTTACCTTACTGGTCAGCCAGCAAGTGCGGATTTACCTGTGCATTTTGGTCAGGAGGGGCACGCTCTGATTGGCTATGGCGGTGTCGCTTGCTCGGCTCCCTTTGATTGTGATATCAGAAATTGGGAAATAGAAAGTATATGTTCTTTTGCAGGATATGAACTAAAACAGTATTTTTTTTCAAACTTGACAATTTTTAAGATCATGGACTTAGAGACTCTCAGAATTCCTCAGCACCACTAACCCTAACAAAAATGATACAAATCTATAAGAATCCAGGGAGACAAAACAATACTCCCACAGTTCTGTCTCTAAGGAATTGGTACTAAAACCATTTTGGCTAGGAAGGATTGTTCAGATATTCATTTGCCCCTGCATTCTTAAATCTGTTTTACTAATTCTGATATTTTTAATACCGTATGCTGTTCTCTTTTTCATCCGTATAAGTAGGGATTTGGGTGAGTATTTTTATCACACAGAATTTTAGGGCAATGCATTTGTGGAAAGAATCCAGAGGAAAAAATATTTGGGGGAAATATTAAAAAGGCAGAATATGTTTACCCAAAGGATCTTAAAGGTAGAAAAGCAAGCCCAGTTTTTCTTAATAGCCCCCAGCCAGAAAACTCAGCAGAAACCAGCTTTTTGATATGCAGATGTAATAATCCATTCAGGAAAGTTGGAGCCAGGAAGCTAGAAGCTGATGAGATAAGAAAGACAAAGACCCCTAAAATCTACACCCTCCACCCAAACTCTATAAACCATGACCGTTAGGATACAATAGCACAGTGGTGGCAAACCTATGGCACGGATGCCAGAAGCGGCACTCAGAGCCCTCTCTGTGGGCACGCATGCCATTGCCCCAGCCCCGCCACCCCCGTGGCCCCCTTCTCACCAGCAGCCCCTCTGGAGGAGAGTCGCCCTGGGTGCAGCCTGCGCAGAGCAGCACAGCCAAGGACATGACAGCTAGGCAGAGGGGACAGGATTCTGCCCTCGTGCCCCATTGTGTACAGATGATGCTGCGGGGTGCAGATAGAGGGTGTGGCTGCCATAATGCTGCTGGGCTGCCTGGACGATCTGCTGTGGTGAGCCGTGGAGGTGGTGGGTGGCCCTGCGGGCAGGAGAGGCAGGGCAGGGGCGAGGCAGTTTTTGGGCACTTGGTCTCTAAAATGTTCACCATCACTGCAATAGGATTAACCCACAAGTCAAAGTTCATGCCACAGGAACAGGAAACGGCCTCAAAGGCCCAAGAAGGTATAAAAACCCACCACTTCCAGCTACATGTGGTCAGCTTTCCCAGAGCCCTCTGTCTGACTCTGCTCTTCAATAAACTGCAACCTTCCTTCTAAAGCAGTCTCCATTTTGTTTATTCCCGGCTTGGACTAGACACATTTTATCTTGATTATTTACACATTCACACTATCTCATGTTTGCTTAGAATCACAAAATTCTGTTGTATTTACAAGTAGTCTTAAATTTATGACCACAACTAGGACTAGAACTTCCATCGCTAAATGATGCATTCATCCAATGAGTTTCATCTATTTTTATGTTCCTGTTGCCACAGTTGTTAAGTGAATCCAGCTTTCTCCATTGACTTTGCTTGTTGGAAGCCCCTGGGAAGATTTCAAATGGTGATCACATGACCCCAGGATGCTATAATCATCATAAAAACATGCCAATTAGCAAGCACCCAATTATGATCACTTGACCGTGAGGCTATGACTCATAATTGAGTAATATTCAAAATAATTGGGAATTGGAAGCATCCTCAGGAAGGGCCCCAAAACCAGCAATGCTTGTGATCACCAACTTGACCTTCCTTGGCACACAGGCACATACCCATGAACCTCCTGAAAACAATCACAGTTGTTCTGCCTAACCTCTCTACATAGCTTCATTGCAGGAGATCAATCAGACTGGGCAAATGAAATTCTTCTCTCTGGATTCTGAATAGATGCACTTCTCTGTTCTGCCCAGCCCATCCTAGCCTTTTTGGTCAATATATAGTTATGTAGAAAATTTTAGGAATGGAACTTGAAGGAAAGGGTTGGATGTCTTAAAGGGAGCCACTGCAAAAGAGAGACATAAACTCGGGCTACTGAATGATGATCAGGATCTGAAAAACATGTCCACTCCATTATGAGTCCCCTATAGCAATAACATCAAACACTCTTCTCACTCTCCGAATTGGAAGGGCCCACAAATTAAAGCAGTATTTCCCAACCTTGTTGGCTTTAAGATGTGTGGACTTCAATTCCCAGAATTCCACAGCCAGCGTTGCTGACTGGGAAATTCTGGGAGTTGAAGTCCAAACATCTTAAAGCCAACAAGCTTGAGAAACGCTGGTTTAAGGCCACCTAATTTTCCAGGAATGAAGTGAGCTTTGCTAGGCATATTTTCCCCAGCAGTTCCAGTTGCAGCTGCTTGTTGCAGCCTGATTAGTGTCACATTCCCCCAAGAGATGACTGAATTTAATTGGAGATGAATGGGCACCTCCAACTAAATGACATTTTCATTGCCAACGAACAAGGGGATAAATCCAATTACACCACAAAGAGGCTTCCTAATAGGCAGTTCAAGTGGAAGAGTGCCTGACAGGACAGAGACAAGGCAGGGAACGGCTCTCCCAAACCAGTCTGGGAGGGGACCCCTGGCTATGGTATACTGGGCAGATACAATGTGGGCAGCATTCTGGTAGAGGGGAAAACAGTGTCGGATGGGGAGTGGCCACTATCCACACTGGATTAAAGCCAGACAGATGTCAAAGGTCAGGCTTTTAGAAGAAGACCTGAACGGAAGTTCCTTCACTACATATTAGAATGACAAACGGACTCACAAATCAAAGATTTTCATTGCCAGTGAAGACTAATAACTAAAACCATTATAGTAATAGCTCAAATACCAGCTCTTTATCTGTCTAGAAATTCAGCACCTGTCCACATAAAATCCTGCAGCAATTTAAGGGCTGGATGATATTCCACAGGACAGTTGTTTCTGCAAACTATGGAAAACTTTATTTCCAGAGATAAGGGCTTTTGCAGTTAAATAGAGAGGCAGGATTATATTTTAAACTGCATTGTATATAGTTTTTTTTATTGAAATTGTATTAGCTGGAAGGAATTTGGAAAATTGGGTGGAAGGAATAGAAGGCAGAAGGAATAGATGGCCTAAGGAAAAGACAGAAATGGAAAGTATTTGCTTATTTCTTCCTCTGGGATCTATAAAACAGTATTTCCAGTTTTGAAAATATTAATTGTGCTTTACTCAACTGATATTAAATCACAACTAAGAGATCCCCCTAATACTAATGTTTCATTTGTGGTTAAGATGCCAGGTTTTAGGCTTCGTGTAGCTATGCAATATTTCTTTTAAAAAATAGCCAGTTTAAATGAGTTGTACAGGATGGAAGAGACTAGATTTGTGGGGATGGAGAAATGAAAGCTGAGCCTGCTGCATGAATTTTCTTTTATTACTATGAATATATGTTTCTTTATTTGTCAACTTCTTATACCTTCCTATTGGTCAGCTGAACTAGAGAAACAATCAAGGATGAAACTATCACATTCCAGTTCTTGACAATTTCTGTTCTCTTTCTGAAGTATGACTAGAAGGGTTGAGGTCCTCCAGCAGTTATGGAGATCATACGTACATCAGAATTATATGGCCAAGAATGTCAGAGAGACAGAAGATCCTTCTTCAAATTCTAATCCAAAAGAGTGTTTGTTTCTCATATTTCATAGATAAACCAGCAACTTCTATTTCTTATAGTAAATATTAGTAATATTAGTGTTCAGTTTAAATTGGGATAAATAAAATTTAATGCAGAAGAATCTCATTAACAATTATGACATAGGCAGTTCAACTATTCTCTTCTAGTTTCTTAATGCAGTAATTTCTAAGGTGATTTCTTAACTGGTGAACTGGTATCTAAATCAGGGGTCTTCAAACTTGGCCCTTTTATGACTTGTGGACTTCAACTCCCAGAATTCCTCAGCCAGCATGAAGTCCACAATTCCTCAGCCAGCATGAGGTCCTCATAAAAGGGCCAAGTTTGAAGACCCCTGATGTAAATTCACATTTTATTTTTGGTACAAATGAAACATGATTTAGACAAACTGTATAGTTTTGATTAAATAACCTCTCAACCCCACAAAATACTTAGCTGTGCCAAAGTTCCTAATATGATTAGGATAGGTATATAAAAAGTTTTGGTAATTCTATGTATTTTAGAGTAGCCAACTGGGAGAAAAATAAAGTATACAATTATTCTGTGATTTTGAAGAGGTAATCAAGATCTATCATCTTGTTACTTGGTTTCTATTCCAGAACTGTTTATAGTACATAATTTTGATGGTAGTAGATATTTGTTAAAGTTCCAGGGTTTTTTTTGTCTTAAAGATTTAATGTGCTTTATTAGTAGTTTGAGACCAATATTTTAATTTGTCTGTTTCTCTCCCTCACATTTTTGTATTGATAGCTATTAAAATGAGGACTGGGAGATCACTGGCTTTCTCAATTAGTGAATTACATTTAATTCAAGTCAATTCACTCTTGTAATGATTTTGACCATGTTTAGTTTTAAAACATTTTAATAACTAGTAATCTAGTAGTTTAAAACTTTTTATACTACTATACTTTAACTGTGTCATTTTTTTAAATGTGGATATTCCA